CCGATCGTTAAAAAAAAAGCCAGTAAAAAAGTTCTTTTATACGAAATAATTCAAGTATGTAACCAATTTTATAAAAATGCGCATGAAACAATGCTGTGTCACTCTTTTCCTTTCTCCAAAATAAAAGTCTCGATCAGATTGTGAAACTCACGCCTCAACGATCGAAATTTCAATCACTTTCTCCTAAAAACTTACGCTAACGCTCTCGAGGCGTATGAAAAAAAAAAAAAAAAAAAAACTAACCAAAATTTCCATACGTTGTTGTAATACTCTTTATCTGCTAAAATCAAAAAAAAAAAAAAAAAAAAAGGTAAGATTTCGGCTGAGATTGGGTGTGTAGCATAAATTTCCTATATTTCATGCAAGTCTATCAGCAAGTCTAATTGCCAAATTGCGTGTCACGAGGCGACGGAGTCAACTTATAAGTGAAAAAAGGCACTCCTCAAGATTAGGTGAAACAACTGGGAGAGCTTTACTTCTGTGAGTTTAATGTTCCTCAATTCTGTTGTTTTCTTTTCTTAAACATAATCCATACTAGCCGAATGGAAAGAAGGGGTACGTGAGCGCATGAAAATGTAAAAAGCTTTACTCTTTGTTTTTTCATGACTTTATCTTTGAAAGGAATCAAGATTACGCGTGAGTGATAATAAAACATACATAAAAGAGAATAAAATATTTTTTGGTGTTTCTTGTTGGCTTTACTTGCCTCGATTTACAATACACATGCTCTCAAAAATAGTTACCATCATAAAAACTTTTAAATAACGCAGAAAAAATCAGTTACGCAAATCACCAACACAAACTACTATTACGATTGCTATACTCAAAAAGAATAGGTTGTTTTTTCAAGTCTATACATTAGAAATTCTGCATCAATTTGGAAAACGCATCGCACATGAAAAAGAGCAGGTAATAGCATTTAAGTCTCCTTTTCGACAAATAGAAAAGCAAACGAACGATTACAGTAGTCTAATGCAACGATTATTACGGGAGCGAAAGAAAGCAAGGGGCCAATTCTGGCTGCAAATAGACCATGTAGCACCAAGGGAGGAGGAGCATAACACGCGCGCACTTCTAATTTTCGCCAGTGTCCAACTAGCTGTAATAACCCCACTCTCTTATCCTCATTAGGACGTAATCGCTGCGCGTGACCTCGTTCCCTCCTGCGAGCTTTTTTACCCTCTTTTCACATGTACTTCAACCAAACGTACAACACTAAGATCTCCTCTGGATATACCTTGGCTGATAAAGATATTTGTCGGAATGGTATTGTGCTGAGATTTTAGTGCTCGGCCAAGTGATGTAAGCTGCTGGAAAGAGTCCATTGATGCGTTGATAAGATAGTGGTCACGAGTTATCTGGGCAGTTTACCAAGAAGAGAATGTTTGTGTTTCGATCGATTGAAGTATTCAGCTAAAAGTAAAATCTCACCACTGATATGAGAGTTTAACTAGCACCCTCCAAGAAACTTCTACTACTATGGATTTTTTATCAATCAAATATAAATCGATGAATGAGTTTAATCATTTGGTAATCATGATAATCATAGAGGGGTATTTCAAAATTCTGATTATATAAAATATATTGATAGTAATATTCATTATTTACTAAAGTGTCAGCTTAATATTCAAATAGCTATTAAAATTTTAAATCAGAAAATTAAAACCACACATTTTTGAACCAATAAAATAATACATAAGGTGTTAGTTTAGTGAATAGGTGAGACAAATTTTGTTAAAACATCACAATTAAAACATAAACTTACTATGCATACTTTTCTTTAGAGATGCATTAAGTGGCTATTTTGGCGTGTTTATTTATGCTTTGATAATCTTAATAGTCATAATTCAAAAAAAGTAGTATAAAGTACGTTAATAAGAATCAATGGGATCTCTCTCATAATTAGTGTGTTTGATATTGTTGCCCTTCCAAATAATAATTTAAAAAACTACATGTAATTATTGTCCATAAAAAATGAGGTCATTGTACATACCGTGTTATTATTGCGAGTAACTTCGGTGAAATAAAGTAATGAAGCCATGTGATAGTAGCCAAACTAATAATTACCCAGAAAAAGATTACTATCATAATTAATGTCGTAGACATCAACGTTTATGAAAACAAGAAAGTGTGAGTAACATTCTGTTCTTTTTGTTTTACCAGGCAACAAGTAACATCATACCTGAATTTAATGATAAATTAATACAACTTGATCTACGAATGAAAAAAAAGTCATCCCTATAAAAAGAGCACTGAAGTAATTACTTCTTGAAAAGGAAAAAAAAAGTTGTTCTTCAGACAAAAAAGTCCAAACTCAATAACAGACATAGCCAGCGAGGGAGAAACAAGAGGGTGAACGGAAGCAGCACACATAAGCCTCCGAAGCTAGCGAGCGAGCAAGCGGAGGGAACAATATCCACAAGCTCACAGTCCGTCAAGCTCACCCCGGCGCGTCTTAAGCAATTAACTCTGTCACTAAGCTCTCGCTCTTAGGGATGAAGCAGCTTCCCCGCTCACCTGCAGCTTGTCAGGTGCATTAATAACATCACGTGTTTGCATGCACATACGCACACTTTGATCATTGAGGGATGCCGAAGCAAAACTTTTCTCTTCACCCACCCCCCTTTGTGTTTTCCTGTCTTTCTCTGTACTGTAGCCAAGAGAGAGTGCATTGGTCCTTTGGGCAAGTAATGATTTTGCAACCATCTAGAAACTTATCCCTGTATCAATTTACTGGTCGAATTCAGGGACCTTTTTCGTGAAATATGGTTTCTTTTTTTCTCGTTTCTTGGCTCGTTCGTTCTCACGGTGCTACTTTTCTCCTCAATGATAAAAGTTTTTCCGCTCCCTCTCTTTATATTTAGCCTTTCTCGCGCCGAGCTCCTTTTTTTCCCAGCTACACTTTCTTTCACGTTCTCTTTAACTAGCTCCACACCCAGTGACCCCATTATACCACGTACCTTTAATGACACTCGCCCACACGTGTTACGCTTTCTCATACGCTACTTTTACACACGTGTCCCAAACTGCGGCTCTTATTTTGATTTCATGACTTCGCATCGAGAAATAAAACGAAAGAAAGTGTGATGAAAAGATAATCTACGATGGAAAAATACGCGCAAGAGCATGAAAGCATTTTTCAATTAAAAATCAGTTACGAGATCGCGTGACAAACGGAAAAAATGGGGACTGAAACTTTTTTCGTATTGCCTTGTAAAAAAAAGGGTCGTGTGGCGTGTTTGATCAAGCGTGTGTTGACCTATTGGCCTCGGAATACCTAAATACAGGAGGAGGCCATGTAAAAGTTCGATCAAACAACATACTAACTATTACAAGGCATAATATATTAGTATTCATACAATTTGCTCTAGATAAAAGAATATACTTTTTTTCAGTAGAAGCAGACAATTTTGGTCAGACGTCTGTATCTTATATTCCGTACGATAAAACTGTAGAACCAAAAAATGCAAAACAACCACCTGATCCGGGCTCAGTGTCAAAGAAATTCCGCTCTCCCTTTGTCTAGCCCGAAATTTTGCGAACATCCCTTTCCAATCCATTGCCTTTCAATCGAGTATGTACGCGCGAGTAGCAATAAAACTCGAAACGAGGCGCTCCGGCATTTTTGTTATCAGGTCGTTGCAGCCTGCTTTGGCTTTGTAAAGCAGCCACTCGTACATTGTGTGGCGAGGCCACGAATGCCAGAGTATGTCGGTGCGAGTAGCTCGCTTTGGACTGCGTTGTACTGGTTATGCGGCTACCGTGCTGTGAAATCCAATAGCATTTGCGAGAATGAAGATGCCAGACGATTTCATTACGAGTTTGTGGTACTCACTGCTGGGAGTTTCATTTTATATACCTCGAGTGCTAGCTTCAAAAGGTGTTTCGTTATAGTTATCTTTAGTATTATGTAAGTAACAAGTGTAGTGATGTGGAATTTTTTTTTTTTTCTTACACTGTATCAGTCATGTCTGACCAAAGCGGATCTATACTACTGATTATTCTACGCCCTTGGTCTCTCTCGGCTTTGTAAACATTATCCCATTATCCGTATTAATGGGGCTTTTAGAGCTCAACATATTTATTGTATAATAAATCACAACGTGTCTCGCGTTACTGCCGATAAGGTGTAATTGTATGGAAATTAAAAACAGAGCTATGGTCTTGAATGAAACGCTTTCCCAATAACCACTATTAATCATGAATGTATTAAATTTATAAACGTTTGTTTACATGATTTATTGGTTTGATTTAACAATATTTCGGGTATAATCTAACGGTTGATCTACGGTCAAGCTTCTATTATGAAAGAATTTCGGTTAATTTGATAACACTTTTGTTCATGTTCCCGTTGATGTATTCGCTGTTTTTGACGTACAATTGCTACATTGATAACTTCCAAATCATATATAATGTTGTCAAATGTGAAAAATGCAGTTGTCCATCGTAAAATCACTGCGTAAATTCAAAGTAAAAATGGAGAGAACTGCCTTTTTTTTATTGATGTATTTGACTTCAACAGCAATTCAGTTAATCACCTAAGAATCACAATCAGCCTTTGATTAGAGCTCGTTTGGCGTTGAATCTGTTACCACTGAGAACAAACATGCACCAATTGAGTTTCATTGGAAATTATGTGTACACACAGTAGTGGGATTCATTTATTTTCCCACAATTTTTAAAATTACCAGTATACAGAAAGAAATACTCAACAATCAAAAATTATAAAAACAGGAAAAAAATCTCAACCCACTTCTTCTCGATTTAAAAAGAAAAGAACATGCATATCCTCTTAATTATAGTACGCCAAGGAGCTCATTAAACCCAAGCCGAGTTATCGTACACGCAACCCCATCCTCACACCTATTTAATCCGATGTAATGATCTTTTAACTCCCCCGGAGCCATATCACGTAGCTACGCACAAACACCCACAAAGTATACATACACGTGACCACATATGGATCATCGAGAGTTACATACAAGAACAATATCACTTACCCAAAGGACTCGAAGTGGAATATGTGAAATCCAGCACCGAAGACGATGCACCGAACCTGCACACTATCAGTCCTTTGCTTTGAATTTGCAAGAGCTACTTTACTGGTTTTTTTACAATCATTTACTTTGGTGTCCCTGTCACTTTTAAAACATTTAAAAGAGCCGTGCATGGGTGTGTACGTGCTGAAAAGCCGGTGACCACGCGGGCGATGTAACTTTGATGCGTCTTTGCTAATTTTTTTGTTTGTCGCACGCTTTTGCTTTGAGTGTCGATTTCACTTTAGTCTCGGATACTGAACACCTCTACCACGCGGTGTCTTTGAGTATCATAGCTGCAAAGGGAATACTGCTGCTTTATTCGTGTATTCGCAAACAACAAAGTTCATACGTGCCTGTCGTACGTTTTTCACGTCTTTTGGGAGCAACAGACGACATTTTTCACCAGTGTTTGACAACGAAACAACATCAATCGCTTTAATACCAGTATGGCATGTTAACCATGTCTCGAATAAACAATGAGGCAACACTTAAAAGGTAATTTACGCCGATTTTTAAAGTCATTGTATGAGCGAAAAAATAATCAAGTCGAGCAAAGTGAGTAGCCGGCAAAAGTTAGAGAGTATAGGACACGTTTTTAAAGGAAACGAGCACGACAGGCGCAAGCGCCGCAGAGTATAAAGCTCCAGAAGTTGCTCGACGCGCGACTCGAGTACGACTGAGCCTAGCGCGCCTCCACACTGTCCGTACGGCTGGTCTCTCCCTCTCGCTCCTTCCACTGCTGCAACAACCTACGTTACTACTTGCAGGAGCGCCGCAACTGGCGCACGCATACGTGGATATGCGACCGCGTTGACGACGATGAGTGTGTGTGTGTGGCCCTTATCGCGGGCGCATCCTGGCCGGATGCTTGCGGCAGATATGCTCGTGATGAAGTGCAGGGGATGCAAATGCTGCGAGCTGGAGGCTGGATTGATTGAAAATTTGTTTTTTTAGCCCTCTGGAGGGCATGATCAAGCCAGTACTAAGTGATAATCGCCGGTCATTATCGTTAATTATACACGATGCCAACAAATTTCGATAAACTTGGTGAGATTATTTTTCTTGATTTCGTAGAGTTATCTGAAAATGTTAAAATGGATGTTACACTACAAATTTGTCCAAGAATGTTCTTACGTAAAAAAAAAAAAAAAAAAATTGACCTTCTTTTCACTATAGACCAAAATCATCAGTATGCTATCAATCTAGTTTTAAATGTGATAGTTATTTTTTTGTAAATGTATACATCAAGTATAACTTTAACAAGTTAAAATTGCCATCGATGAGATTAGCCCTTGAGACAGAGAGCGCAACAAGGAAGTCAAAGGTATAGCTAGTCGAACAAGAGGCACTAGAGGAGAATAAGACAAGGATATCGATTTTTATATCGGAATGTTTACTGTACAATAGAATATTAAGAAAAGGGTAATGATAACCAGAAAGTGGGTCAATCGAGGAAGCCCAAAGGAGCGGCTTGAGTTCATTTGAAAAGTTTGCCGTGTAATTTCACATCGTGTGGCCGCAACTTGTTATGGTTTGTTAACTTAGCTGACTAATTCTGTTATCTTTCTCTAATGATGTATGATTATTTGATTGCATTCCAACTACTCGTAAAGTATTATTAAGCGCATTTCGTTTGATAGTTCATCAATATTACCGCATATTATTATGTCATAATGCTCTCTATGAGTAGAAAAATACTGTCATAGGATAGTGACGTTAATAAAAAAGTTAGCAATGTTGATAAAAATTTACTTGATTAATTAATGGTTACTGTTCTGTTTGCATTAGACATAGATGGACCAATAATCAAATATCAAAGAATAAAATAATGGACTTCACATCTAATACAAACGGGGTTAGTCTGGAGGAATGAACTTGGATTTATAAAAAAAGAGAACAACTGAGTTCTAAATTAATTTACATGTAAAAATCAGCCAAGTTCTTCCATCATAGCAAAGAAAATGCCTTGACTCCAATACTGCTCTAAAGCTGAGTTCCGATTTATCTAAAATATCTCTTTCACTTCTAAGCTCAACTCTTCACATTTAATAGCAAAAACTGAGCTACGTATTCACCCCAAAATGAAGCAGTCGTTTTCTATCTAAAAAAAATGAAATAAAAACACGATGACCTTTTTCTTTAACGTTAAATTTTCCTTTTTCCCTCTAAAGTTTCGAGTTAATACGTTTAAAATTGTTTAAATCACTGAACCACATTTAATAATTTTTCCTTCTAGTTGATGGTGTGTATTTAATTGTATCTAAACCTTATAACATTAACCAGTTCACTATGTGATACAAATTTTAAGTAAGATCCTTTCAACTTTGTTTGTCATCACAAAATCGTACTAAGATGAAGTACTTGTTGAATTATTTATCACATTTCTATGATATTTTAATATATTTAATGTACGTGCACTTGATTCGGGAATAATAGTACGTACTACACGAAGCTTAAATACCGCTGGAGTTTAATATGTGCGAAGTTTCACCCAAGCTTACAGAATTTAATAACCAATTTACGTCAGATCAGCCATTATGATTTAGTGCACGTTTATTAACAATGATTTTGTGAAATATAACTTAGAAATATATGGAACGCATTTAAAAATGTATAAGTAGAATAGATGCCTCGTAACAGAAAAATGTAATTTAAAAGAAAAATATTAAAGAAAGAAGATACAGACATGCTTTTAAAATTTTCGGGGCAAACAATATGTATGTCAATATTTTCATGAAAATAAAAACGAGAGACGAAAAAAAAAATAAACTGTGCGGAGAAAAAGCTGAATTCAAACACAGATGAAGGGATTGAAAATTGTTTGCAGCGAGAGGAAAAAAAGAGCCGTGCTTGCATGGGAGAGCCTAATAACAACGCAAAAACAAAGACCCAAAGAGATACTGAGTGCGATAGCTGCCGCACATGACAAAGCAAAGTGCATGTAAATAGTGTACGTACGGGGAAGACAAAAAAAAA